ACCGATGATGATGATGATGATGATGATGATGATGATGATGATGATGATGATGATGATGATGATCTGCTCAATACCTAGTTGTGAGAAATTTGACGTCAATTTTTTGTAAACTTCACAATATGTCAAGCTTTTTCGAATGCAATTCTTTGAACATCTTGATAACGACTCAGATTAATCTTACGATTTTGAAAGAAGAGATACAGCCTTTGCCTTCTGTCCTCATGATCTGAGTAACTCAAAACAGCCAAAAATGCCAGATAGAATTTTACAATTCCGAGGTAGCGATTAGCCATGTAAAGCGATTGTTCACTACATTTTGTAGAGATTTCCCCCAAAAGAGTACAATCTTAACAGTTAATCCTAAGTCAATCAGCATTATTCATGGAATATATCGCAAAGACGATTGTGTTTGTAAGTAGATTACGCGAATCCTTTCTGGTGTGCCTGGAACCTAGAAGAGGGCAAAACCGGATAATCTACAGGGATAACCGGATAATTCTCAATGAAACATTATCCGAATTCAGACTCTTAACTCTCTTTCGAGACCTGTTAGCCGAAGTGGGTGCACCCATTTGTTGAAGTGGTTCTAACCCGTTTTTCGAAGTGGTTGTAACCCTTTTGTTGAAGCGGTTCATACCATGTATTATTTGCCGAGGAGATGCACTGACACATCATCCGGTTGCTAAAGCGACTCATTGCCCAGCAATACTGGAACTGAATCTAAGTTGCGTGACGTCTGTTTTTAAACACCCAAGAATTGTTTCCTCCAGTCTGGAGTTCACAATTTCCAGTTCCTGTTTATTTAGTGGCGTCGGTGGCCTAGTGGTTAGGCTCTCGGATTCACAACCGTAAGGTCGTGGATTCGAATCCCGTCAGGGACCCGACGTTGTGTCCTTGGGAAAGGCACTTTACACGAATTTTCCTCACTTCTCCCAGGTGGGAACGGGTATCCGGCTATAGACAGTGAAAGATCTTGTCAGTTTGTTAGTGATTGAGCACTTAATCAGCTGCATGCACTGTATGCTTCCCGAGAAGCTGAGAATGTTTCGTATTGTTGTATGGTCTTCTGGGGTAATAA